GGTTTGGAGCTCAGCCAGACGCCGCCAGCAGAGGAGAGAGAGAGAGAGAAGAGAGGACAAGAGAGAAGAGAGGAAGAAGGAGAGAGAGAGAGAGAGAGAGAGAGAGAGAAGCGCTCGACCAGACGGGACTAGAGAAGGAGAGAGTGAGTTAGAGACGGTCAGCTACAGGACCTGAAGACTCAAGACGAGGAAGAAAGGCGAGTGACGAGAAGCGAGCGAAAGACACGGAGAGAAGAGAAGAAAGAAAGAAAAAAAGAGAAGAAGAAAAAAGGAGAAAAGGGATAGACGCGCTGAGAAGCACCTACTGCGAAGAGACAAAGCGTTTTGAGGATTACAGACATACCGTCTCTGCCACGTGGCTCTTTCCTGTTGAATATTTAATGTGTGTTTCGTCGACGAATCCATCTTCTCCCTACGCTCATTACTGTTGAGGAAACGAAGTAAAACCCCCAAAATCTGAAAATATTCACAGTGATTTTGAAAAAGAAAGAGGGAAAAGACAAAACGGAAGAAAATAAATCCCCTAAAATATATATATACGAATACCGCTGTTCTTAAGAGCGTTCAATGTTCTTGAATGAACTCACAGTGCACGTAGGAGCAGGCAATCGATTCAGACAGAAAATCGCGTAAGAGAGGGAAGAACCGGAGCTCAACCAGCGCTCAATTACTCCTTCCAGACTCGTAATCTCCCGTGAACAATACCGCGAGAGCCATTTATCGAAGGTCGTTAAGTCGTGCCGCGAAGCCAGAATCCCAGAGGTGAACTGTTAATCAAATCAGTGACTCGCGGGGACGACGGCAGGCACCTTCTGCTAGTTCTAGTGTTGCCAAGCACAGAGATCGAGGAGTCCATTTTCTCTCTGGTTAATTATTTTTGTTTCCCGTTGTAGGGAAAGGTGAGAGTTTTGTAGCTTGAAAAAGAACAATTCCAACAGATGTATTGCTAAAGAGAAAGCAATATTCGGCGGTTTAAAAAAAGAAAGAGCAAAAGCGGGAGCCGAGGCAGCAAGCGGGACGGAGCTCCGGAAGACAATCCCCGAATCACCCAAAGGTTTCAAGTCTCGGCTTGTAAGGATCCGCGGGAGTGTGTGGCGGCGCGTGAGGCGGCAGGACCTCCCAGCAGGACTCCCAGGTGATGTAGCCAGGGCATCCACGCCCCGCTGTGCCCTTCCACCCCCTCCCTTCTCCCCATTCGCCCCCGTCCGCCCCCACGCCCTCCCTGGCATCCCGCCTACCCGCCTCCATTAGCGTAAGAGCCCACGACTTCCCATCACAACACCCGTCTGCGCGTCAGGTGCCTTGCTGGGCCATCGTCGGCTCAGGGACGGAATTTACGTCGGAGGGGCGTAGAACAAGAAGAAAGGGAGAAGAAGAGATTATTTGAAATCGGAGCGGCGTTTATTAAAAGCAAATCCGACCCGAGGAAAATCACAACAAACAAAGTTTAAGGGAATAATTTATTCTCGGCGGAAACAACTGATAACCTTCTTGCCTGCTGTTCACAGCTAACATACCCACACTGACGTCGACGCCACTCAAGCCAGGAAGCACTGTCAGACAAAGTCACTTGTGCTTTCAAATATCCCTGTCAGGGAAGAGAGAGAAAAAATCAGAAACGCAGAGAACAAGAGAGGAATAAAAACATTTCGGCTGTCTGTCTAGAAGTGAGTACTTCTTATCGACGACTTACGAACAAGCTGATAAGACGTTCCTTCTCGACAAGAACCCGAGGCAAACAGCGCCGGCGAGGAGAGCCGCGTGGGTCGTCGCTTAGTCCAATAAATCACGAGGATATTTAGTTCGAGAGCAAGAGGTGGCGACTTACTTGACCTTATCGGGCGTAATTACTATTTAGTTATTAGCATTACCTGTAAGACTCAAACTAACGACACCTTAATAGGTACCTTTAATCCGCAGTACCAATCTCAGGAGCAAATAATACAAGGTTGGGTAACAACGAGTCTGACCCTGCGAGCGACAGCCTCCACCTAAGAAAGAACTGTAATTGTGATCCTGGTAAGACTGCCACACAATTACTTTAGGGCCGCCACGTTGGATAATGAAAGGCAAATACACGAGTGAAATTGTGCCTGCGGCCTAGGACCTACTACAGCACACACCCTCCCTCCGTCGCTCCCTCATACAGATTCACACACCCTCCCTCCGTCGCTCCCTCATACAGATTCACACACCCCCTCCTCTGGCCTTTTGTTGTTGTGGAATGCCACACCCGCGCCAGACCTCATCTCCCTTGCCTACTAGAGCCACGTAACTCATAGGTATATAACAAATATTTACAGTACTGTCGAGGAGGGATTTACTGAGTTTATTGTTGTCTTGAGCCTGTGACATCCATATGTATGAGGCTGTATATTATTCACAGTGACATTATACCGACAGAAAATATTATCCCTATGAATATGTGCATGAGGTATTCTGTACAACGTTACCAGTGATTCATTGTGAAGGATTTACCCTGTACTTTGTGTCTGTGAGAGCTATAGAACGAAGAACCAGTGATATTTTAAGAAACCGAATTACGTGTAGAATAGTCTTTTGTCGTGAATACTGATGAAATGTCACAGTGATAAATAACGCCTTGGAGTTTTCTGGGTAAACTTTTTTTCGAAGTATTCACTGAGTATAAAGAAAACAATAGGAGTAACATAATAAAAAGGTGACTGTGCAGAAATCCAAGAGTTAGATTGAAAACTTTCTTCACAGCAAGAGTGAATCATAAATCCAGGGAGTCATTTGTACCTGTTCCGAGGGTGTGACGTCAGAATACCTGTAGGAAGAAGGTGCGAGGTCTGGGCCTCGTCGGTAGCCTGGACAAACACCCGTGTGTAAACATCTCTACTCTGTCGAGAGTCCACTGTTCGAGCCTCACACACCCACTCTCCTCCTCCCCCCTACCCCTTTGCCTGCCTGCCTTCCTGTCTTCTTGACTCTGAGCACCTTCTGACCTCGTCGTCGCCTACGTCAGAGTGCAAGAGGCTTAACGAATGCGAGACCTGTTCACCGGGCAATATATCGCGTGAGGCTCGCCGAGAGGTAATGTTTTTGCGTGAATTCCCATCGGCAGCGGATTCCCATTTGATCGATTCCTCCTTGTGACTAGAACGTATTCATTACAACCGACTCGCAACTCGCTGCCCCGCGAAGATGAACGCCGACGCCGTGAACGGGGGCAAGTACGCCCTAAGAACCAAGTCCATCATCAAGCGGATAGAATCGGAGAAGAACCGAGCCACGTCCAAGAGGAAAGAACCCAAGGAGAAGCAGAAACCTCCGCCACTCAGCAAATACCGACGTAAGACAGCCAACGCCCGTGAGAGGAACAGGATGAAGGAGATAAATGATGCTTTCGTGACACTTCAGAAGGCGATTCCCGACCTCCCCGGGGCGGATGCTGAGAAGCTCACCAAGATCACCATCCTCAGACTAGCCGTTAATTACATCGACGCCCTGGCGGGTGTCTTAGACGACGATTACAACCCCACCGACATCGACGGCGTGAGGGAGCTCTGGTGCCTGGAGAACGCCCACATGGCCCGCCCCGAGCACTGCGTCCGGCCCGTGATGAAGAGTCCGGGAGCCAAGACGTCGGCCACTCCGTCAGGAAAAAATAGCAAAACGATTAGCAACAGTAAAAATAACAGCAAAGCATCAAAACCAAAAAGCCAACAGTCGCACGCGAGAGCGGATGGAAGTAAGAGCAAACACACGATAGCGACTAAATCGACAACTAAAAGACCGAGCAAGCCGAAGAACAAGCCGAGAGAGTGCAAGACGGCAAGTATTGCCACGAGCAACGGTGCATATATTACTCTAAAGAACGTGGCGTTGCAAACTCCGCCCCACAGAGTAGGCAGAACGATCAACAACGAGCCTCTCATGATGTCAATGACAGTGAAGAGGCCGAGAGTCGACTCCATCACTACTCGACCCCACAAACTGCCGCGTCTGGAGCCCGTCGTCCCCCTGATGACGCTCAACCAGCCCCTTCTGGCATTCACCCCCTACGGCGCGGACCTCTCGCACGTCCCCGCCGCCATCCCCGGCAACGACACGCCGGAGCCGCTCGCCGGAGCCACGCCGACCACGCTCCACCACGTCACCTACACCGACCCGGCCACGATCTTCCACACGAGCGAGTCCGTGTCGGTGAACGTCGCCTTCCAGGACCTCGACAGCCCCGTGGTGAGGAACGACGTCCTCCTCGAGTTCCCGAGGAGCGGGAGACACCTCAGTGAGTCTTCGAGTCGAGACTCCGCGTTCTCGAGCGACGGCTCTTCTCCCCCGAGTCCTCTGGATAGCGTCGCGTTCCCCGCGCCCGTGCCAGTGCCGGTGCCGATCGGGGACTCATCACCTTCGTTCTCCATTGCGTCGTCGAGTGGCATCTCCGGCTGCGGCTCGAGCTCGGACTGCGAGAGCGTCCTGGCGGCGCCCGTCGAGCTCGGCAGCCTCCTGGGAGACGAGCCCTTCGAGGAGGAGCTGGACCATCTGACGTCCACCTTTGCCGAGGGCGATGACACCCTCAACCTCTTCCTCGCGCACTCGTCCTCGAATTTCATCTGCACGGACATTGACGACTGCTAGGGGCGAAGAACCTATTCTTTTTACCCAAGACAAATATGATTGGTAATGCAAGGTCATTGATGTTCTCTTCCTCTCAGTGCTGATTAGCGTTCGCATGAGAAAGATTGCAAGCATTGCAGGAACGAGACATGACTGCGTTGGAATCCTGTGAGCTCTGTTGCCATTGTATTTTATAAGGAAATGTGTACAGTTTTTAGATTTTTTACGATGTATTGAAGTATATTATTACGTTGATTTTTTATACAAAAGAGATTTGTATCTGAGATTGTAAGACAGTTTATGGAATATACGTAATTTAAGAATACAAATATACATATCATCCTTCTGTGTTCATACTTTGTAAATAAGATGTTTTCCATTTTGCTTTATGTAAATAAATAAGGCTTTTGCATATA